TTATCGAACGAGTAGACAAATCGAATGCGTATTTTCGAATTTTATTCACATGTTCGCAAAATATAGATTAAGAATTTTAAAATCTAAAAAGAAAGGCATCGGACAACCACCCAAAAAATAGAATTTTTTATAGCATCTTTTTTTGATTCAAAGACAAATCATCATTATCTAATTGCATTACAGTCATGATAAAAGAATCAATTTAGATGAAACGTTTATTGCTAATTCAAGAAGAATTATGTCAAGAGCATCGTACAACAATGAAAGAAGTATTCGAAATCAATTCACAGAATCATCGCCAACAGTATCGCCATATATATATGTTCAACCACAACAACAAGATGCCACTTAAGGCTTTTATGAATGATAATTGATGAAGATGAACAAAAAACACATTAAATCAGCCTGTGCAACATCGAAAACAAGAACAACAATTCGGGATGTGTTCACTTTCTGTTTACATGGAGAGTTCTCGATCACATGTCATCACACGCCAAGTCTTATTGGTTTTTTGTTGACATGACCGCGCGTGTCCTTATGATATATATACTGGTGTTGTCTTTCTTTTCTGTGTCTCATTTTTACCTTTTTTATCGTATGTTAAGTGTTGTGAGATAAATCAAATTCACGTTTAAAACACGCAACATTTATAGTGACGACGAACCAACAGCGAAAGAAGAATGGTTCGATTAGTTTTGATTCTGTTAATTTTATATGAAATATACCTTTTGTATTCGGGTAATAATCAATCATGGTTCTCGAAGCTTCTCACAGAAAATAATGAATCACTGTAGTTGAGATGTTTATACCATTAAGAAAAAGCGAGAATGATACTTCATTCACTCAACTGTGTTCTGTCAATTGATTGAAATAAACACATTAAAGAAAGAAAAGAAAAAGCTGCCTTCTTACGCAATCATAGAAAATACGTGCACAATAAAAAACCGAAAAAAATGGCATTTTATCTTCACTATCGTCGGTGAATTAATTGTTGCAAGGGAACTCTATTTTCAACAGACAATAGAGACAATCAAAATTTTTGACCTTCATCTGCTGTAGAGTGGACTCATTATATACACTCTCTCCAGTAGAAAAGAAATACCACTTCTACCTGTCTTTTGCAAGACACGACGGATTGGATTTTGTTTGAGCATGCCATGACGCGTTTCGACCGATGCTCAGCGGTCTCAGCAGGTGGTCTCAATATTCTTCTGTTCATATGTTATGAACTCGAAGGTATTTTGGCTAAGTCACTCTTATGTTCTAATATGAACTCGAAAAGTAACTTCTGAGAATTGTATGATGCTATTTTATGTACAAATATATACATGGCGAGGTACTAATTTCTGATATATCATTCATTAAACTGTCTATATTTTGAGAAAAATAGCAGCCACCGATTGACGTGATTTTTCTTCTTCTTTTCCTTTGTCAGTACGCTCGGTCTCTTGTTTTATTTTGATTTTTGCATCATTTATTCCTCAGAAAAATGACCTTGATTAGATCATTTCTTCGTCCAGTCTCTGTTTCAAGAATAACGCCGGTTGTTGTATTCAATGGACGCATCTTGGTCGCACAAAGGCGATCATATGATGGGTATAGTACATGCAGAGTAAAAATATTAAAGTATATTAAACACATATTATAGATATCAAAATACTTGCTGGATAAGTCTTATTTTTAAATAAAACGAGACGCGTCGCAATAAGCAACAATTTTATTTTCTATGGCACGACGATCAATATTCTAAACAAACAATATATATATATATATGAGTCAATTGCAACTCTTTTGTACAATTGATAAAACAAAATGAAAGTGATCCTATTGAAAATCTAAAAGTTGAATTTTGTTGCCCATCATTCACTGAGTCTGTGTTAAAACTTTTGCGACTACCACACCTCAGGGAGCTGAGATAAACGAGATGCAGAGTTACGACTACTCGTCTAAGGAGTTTATCCTAAGCAATTTTTCCTGACACGACAGTACTGCGAACGACATTACCGTGAAGACCCGGTTATTGGAAAATAAGAATAAATGAGCCTGGTTTTCTATTTTGTATATTATACCGCGGGAGGTGAAGAGGGGAGGGCATTGTGAGAGTGAGTTTGAAAAGTAGTTTCACACAAAACGTATTTTCATGATGCGCAACAAGCTATCTGTGACTGTGTCAGATAATGACTAGTCATCGCATAACTTCAGTTAAGTTTGAAAACATGAAGTACAAAATACAAAACGGGCCTCATTTATTCGCCTTTTCCAATAAACAATTGTTCGCGGTAATGTCGTTCGCGGCAATATCGTTTTTTGTATTCGCGCTAATGTCGCTGTATCGTGTTTTTCGAAAAAGTTTCGAAGAAATAGTGAAAACCTATACTACACAAAATAATCTATTTTTCACTATTTTCATCGAAAATTAAACAATTCATAATTCAGTCAAAATTGTTTCAAACTGCTTCAAAATATCAGAATATACTCCATTTTATCTACTTAGCCATATTTTGTAGTAACAATTAGTACGAAACATTGTCTTATCCACGAAGCTTATAGAGGGCCCTTGAAAAACCAAAACACTTTCTGTTAGTTTTTTATACTGTTACTGAAGATCATAGTGTAGCACAGATAAAATCGAGTGTTTCTTGATATTCTGACGCAGTCTGAAACAATTTTGATTGAGTTATAAGTTTGTTAATTTTAGGTACACCATGGTAGACCTCGTTGGTAGAACGGATTTATACATAGGAAGATGCTGTAAGATCCTGGCTTCAACACGCCAGAAGCTGCAGTTCTTAAGCTTGTTCCGTTAGAAAGTTACAAAAAAATGACCGCACCCACTATTTAGTTGGACAGATAATAATTTACAATTGTAATGACTGTCAATGTGATAATTATTTCATGTGTAAGCCGCTTGAAATAGCTGGGATACACTGGAAACTAAAAATTTGAGCTATCATAATTAAAGTTTCTTGGTGAATAACAAACAGAAACTGTTACTAGACGCGTTTCTGACTGCAATTAGTAGAGATAGAGAGCGATATGAGAACAAGTGCCTTGGCTTAAGACTCTTAAAACTTAAAACTTCAGTTTATCCGGTTGAATGTCTTTTGTACAAAAAGCGCTTCAACTACTTTTTATACTTTATATATAAGTATATATGAGTCAATTGCGACTTCTTTGTGCAATGACATTTTTAAAGTATTTTTGCTACTAACACCGTTGTTATGAATGGATTTTCACACTTTTTTTTATTCTCTATCTCAGGCCCTAGCCACAGTACCATAAAAATTTCGTAACAATATGCCGTCAACTAACTGAGTTGAGATGTTTATATCTTTAAGAAAAAGCGAGAATGATATAGCATGCTCGCATATTTATAGCATATTACGATATAAATATAAATATCTATATATATATATACACACAAGTCAAATAATCATGCAAAATTTGGTAGCTTTTTATTTGTCCGTGAAGTAAGTTCAGTTTTATTTTCGTTATTACGTAGGTAATTTCGTTGTTTCATTCTCCACAAAAATATATTGAAAATTCTTTTATACACCGTAGAAATAACAGAATATAGGTGAAATACAGCGAAGCTTCAATTTCTGTTGCTTTCAGACCCGAAAAACAGTCTTTTAATTATAGTTCTTAGTATTTTGCGATACAGAATAACAGAAGATGCCTGTTTTGTAGCCCTTGAAAAGCTCTATCAATTGGCTATGTTCAAAGCTCCTTATAACCGCAATTCGTCGCGGGAGAAGGTTTTGGCTATACCGATTTTATCGAAAATCCCCGGTTTCAAACTGCAGTTTTGGTGGCATTTGAGAAAGTTTTTATAAATCTGCCAGAATCAAAAATATTGTGAGGTCTGATGTGTCTTAACTTAAAGAAAAATAATTCTTCTGTTATATCCGAACAGAGAAAGTTCGATAACTTCATTTTCTTCCGCTGATAAGGTGAAAATTTTCATTTTTTTGGTAGACTATAGTAAAATAGCTTTTTGTATCAGAAAAAGGCGTTCAACCCCAACCTCTGATATATGAAAAGAAAAACGACACTTCGTGGCACCAGAATATCCGTTTTGATCCTACTTTATCGTGTTCAAAATAAATATCTTTTCATTGTATTTTGGGTTCAAAAGCAATGAAAATTGAAGCTTCGCCTAGATTCTGTTATTTCTACGTTGTATAAAACAATGTTCAATATGTGTTTTGTAGAAAATGAAACAACAAATCTTTTAAAAAATGCTGACGCCTTGAGAATAAACATTGACCAAGATATTTGCGGAATACTGAGATCGCCATTCTTTATGGCCCAGGGCTGTACCCAGAAATTTAGTAAGGGATGCGCAGCTTCACTACTGTAGTCTGAATGACAAATTTCAGTCTTCGAATATTATTAATCAGATATACAGTGTATAAACTTAGTGTATACTGTACATTAAAGTGAAATACCGAGCGGTGGGTACGTGTACTGTTTGCCTATCCGAGAAAAGTAGTGCTCTTCATTAGACACGACTGAAAGAAAAAATACTACGAAAACAACCAACGCATTTATTTTTCTTGTCATATCACGAGAAGCAGTATGACGGAGCACCATTTTTGAAAAAGGAGTACGACGAAGAAAAGAAAGGAGGACGACGTTGGTGACTAATGAAAATGTACGTCTGGAAAGAAATAAAAAACATGTTTTCCTTTTCGTTACTGTTACTGTTTTGCTTCTACCATAGGTGGTGGTAATAGAGGAATCAAAAATAAAGCATGACATACACAGAAACAATAGGTGCTAAGAAACTCAGCCACATGACAACACACAACAGGACAAATGTATACTTTGCATAGCAAAGCGAATTACATATCCGAACAAATGAAAAGTTTAAGGTCCATAGCTCAATTAAGAATTTGGTTCTGTGCATGATCAATGAAATATTCGTATTTTTGTACGTGGTCGAAGATGGTTGTTCTTAAGAAGTTCATCATTTTTCTGTTCTAGTTTAAAATTCAATGCCCGGCCAAGATATTCATAATAAGAAGGACATCAATGAAATATATCTATGTCCTGTATGTGAATTAATACTCAAGAATCCATGTCAATTACCGTGTGGCGATCGATTATGTCAGGAATGTATTCCAGCACTTATAAGGTAAAATAATATGTTAGTCATGATTTACTGACCTCATAGTCCATTTCAGGATACCATATTTCCATGTCTTTAATTCGCCGATTTAAGTTTTCAGCAAATATGTTTCTTTATAAAATAAAATCACAGACTGGGTTCGTAATTCTCTTCTCCTCTTCTCTCCTCTTTATTCCAAGACGTCTCCCCTTTCTTCTCTTTTTCTGGGACTTTTTAGCAGAAATATCACAATTCACGCAGTTTTTAGATCTGAGAGTAGTTTCAGATTTAGTTTTTTTGCCCGCCTTGTCTTTAATTCGCTAGTTTTATTAGAGGTTAGGTTTTAGGAACATAGGATGGCAGTTGATGGTACAGCATATGAAGAAAGACAAACATCGTGAGAAAATCTTTCATACAGCTACAACTTTATCATAAAGTTCATCCACATTCATCTTTTCTATATTTACACTAGCACATCCAACAAGACTTCTCAGTTTTCAAGATCAAGTGACTGAAACTGAAATTAACAATAAGCGCTGCTATTTCAACAGTCAGATACGTTTCTGTGTTAAACTAGAATAACTTCTTTTTGTTGTGTTTTTCTTAGTTGTGTATTCGTGATACGCGGAAAAAAATAGTTTAAGTGGGATGAAATCTTTTCTTTGGGAGCCTTAAGCCATTTTGACGTATATAACATTGTCAGTACCATTTTTTTGGCCAAAAAATGCCGTATCCTTTCCTCTTAAAAAATTGTTAACGTACCTCTTTTGCCTGAAAGGGGCGTTATGAAACCAGATCACAGAGGAATTCTATTCTCAAAGCCGTAGTCGCTGAATATATCAGGAATGCTTCATTCCTGATGTTACAATCCTACAGGAATACATCCACTCGAGCCGATCATTTTTCCTGATCAGCTCGACCTTTCTGCCGATACTTTCAATATGTTCTCGAAGTCGATTGAAACACAATGATCATACTGTTTCGACCTGCACTACCCATCAGTGAAGCACATTTTATTATTTTTCTCTAAAATTTAAACTTAGGTTGATGCAGAGAGAGTGATTAAAAAGTGTGTTTGAATCTTTTATGTGTTGAGCAGTGGATTAAGAACCCAAGTTTTCTTCCTGAATTCATGAATATATGAGACATATCCCTTTTTGTGAAGAACATTTGGCTGAAGCAGAAAGCCTTATGAATCGAAAGAAAGAAAAGTGTGAAGCTATAGATTTGAACACAATGTGACACTAATGCGTCTCTGAGCTTATCTCTAGTGGCTAGTTTTTCTCTACAAACTTTTCAGGAGTTAAAAACTCTTAACGTAACAAAAATCCTTGGTTAGTTCAAGAAAGCAAGGTAAATCTTAAAACCAAGTTTACTATTTTCTTCGGTTTAGAGAAGATGCAATATTCAAATGTCCCGTATGTGCAGAAAGTGTACACACATCGAACGTATGTATACACTTATACTTATTACTTATCCATCATGAGAAACTCAATTTTAGCTTATGGTTGACAAAGGATTTGGGAGAGATTTAGATCAATTGGAAGTAATATGCATCGAAAAACGTAATAATTGTGAATGGGCAGGAAAATTAAAGTACTATCAGGTATGTAGCAGGTCATTCTTCATTTTCGTATTGGACACGGTGCTGGTTTTATTTAATTCAGGATCATTTAAATAACGATCATTTGAATTATTCATGTAATTTATGTCAGGAAAAGTTTGCGACACCAATCGCGTTAAATGAACACAAAGAATGTGTTCATTAAAACAATACATTGTATTGTTGTAAATTGTATTATTAAAATTAACAGTCATTACTTAACCGAGCTGCATCAGCGTGTTCTAACAGTGTTTTTACTCAACCTTCAGTCACTATTTGCCTCTCCACTTAAAGAGAACAATGTTACGAACCAGCCTACAACCACATCTGATGTAAATGCAATGGATATTGGAAGGCACGAGTCGCTGAGGATTAATGATTTATATGTTGAACTGCAAAAATGTTATGAAACAATAACGATTTTGACTCGTGGAATAGAGATCCAAAACCAGGATTTTGTTCGATTGAATGAAGAATTTTTAAGGTATAATATCGTATCGCAAACCCTATCTCAAGAACTAAACAAAGTAAAATTATCTATAGCAGAGAAAGAAACATCTTTCGCCAGATTAGGATCGAACCAGGAGATCCTTCAACAAGAACTTGCAAGTGTAAAACAAAAGATTGCAGATATTGAATCTGCTTC